TATCGTGCCATAAGGAAATTTTATTTCGTGCAGGAATACATAGATTGTAAAGGGGAAAGTGTTAAATTTGTGGGTAAAATTGATGGAGATAAACGAAGAGGATAAACAAACAAACGGATCGCTTTACTTTCGATCTTCTTTTATTTAAATTTTTCTTCCACTTTCACTTCGGCATATTTTTGCGATCTATTTAATCAAACAGACGCTGAGGGAAACGTGGAATTTCATGTTAAATAACGCTCAAGGAGCTTTCGAGAATTTTCAAGTAACTTTGCGGTCGATGATACCTGTAAGAAGGAAACTTCCTCCGCATGGTTCTTGTAAATTACTAGAGCATATAATAATTATCTACATTGCTCGAGCCACGCAGATACGTATATACACACGTTGTATATGCATACTTCGACCCTGAACTAATGTCATGATCAAAAATGGAGGCGGAAGCTCTCCAAAGGTAATATCCGCGAAACCGGCGAATAGAATGGAACATCCTACTTAACTCACTAAGGAAACATCGATTCCTTTCGATTTCATTCATGTGCTTTGGATGTTCGCTCAGTAGAAGTCAAAATTATATATTTGTCCCTCCTATTATTATTATTATTCTTATAATGTCCGTTTTCATATTTTACCACTTCCATTTTTTTTTTTTTTTTTAAGCTTGCACGTGCGAAAATTTGTTTTCTACACAACAAACTTAGCTAGCTGAGCTAGAATTTTATTGAAGCACCAAACCAATTTTTCCAGGTGTCATACTAGGACAACGCCAATTATATAAATAATATTGTAAATTTCCATCGCCTATACCAAACTTTAACGGTTCTAAAAATTCTTTGTTGTCCATTAAATCTAATGCGTTAAACACATCGAAATCGAGCTGAAAACAATATCTAAGTGGTATTATCTTCTCGTACAATGAAAAATACAAATCGTGAAACTTACATTACGAGCCGATATCAATGCATCCGTCATAAGATCGATCCAAGGAGTCACCGTGGATACATTGTAAAAACTATACGCAGCCCTAAGCGTCTTGTGTGTTTGATGATGCATTATGGAGCTTGGTAACGTATAATAACTAACCATATCGGTGATTTTACCCTCATTTTCTACTACAAAACTATTAATAATTCCGTATTGCGGAAGGAACCAATGCCGAAACTCCTCGATCGAGAAGATTGGGGCCAAATCGAATTTTTCCAAATACTAAAATATAAACGAATATATAATATTTTCTCCTTCTTCTCTTTCTTCTAATTAAAATATTAATTACTATATATATATATATTCTTGCAAAAATAATTACTTCGGTTAATATTTTATGAGCTTGAGGTATATCTGCTTCGACCAATTTTCTAAATCCTGGTACTTTTGTATTTTCTGGCAGTTTGAATAATTTTAAAGTTCTCTGCATAGTCATATTGCGAGATAAGTGCGAAAACTTTACTTCGATTAATTTCTTTGGATTGAGAGAACGATGCCAATACCTTTGGAAAACGAATTTATATATAAAACGATATAATAATAAATACAAGTACGAGTTAATAATAAAAAAACGATATTAATTTTAATATTGATACGTACCTACAAGTAGCTATTGGTTTTGGCAGTACAACACCAGCAGTATACACAGCCTGAAATATACCTTGAAGATTAACTCTCCTAGTTATTTCACGTATTAATACGGGCGCAACTCGTTTTGACCTCAGTTTTTTGTGTACACATAAGAAATTTATTTCCACCATCTTCTGAGTGCTAATATAAAAAATTTTTTTATATTAACTAACAAGAAATGGATTAAAAATAATTCGATATTTACTGATTATAAACACGCAGAGTAGCTGGAATAGCAGAAATGAAACCAACTAAACGTCTAGTTTTAGTCACTCGTACACCACAATGCCATTCTTTGCACCATCCAGGAGATTGCAATGCCCTAAAAAATATATTTCATTAAAGATTTATTTATAAAATCAATTATACATTTTATAAATTGATATTATTTCAATTACCATTTTAAAAAATTTGGAGGATAATCAAATCTAAACATAGCATCATCATCTTCCACGTAATTTTCAGATAATAAAGTATACAATTCACATAGAACTAATGGATCATCAAGATTTAACGTATCCCATTGAAAATCTGCTGGTAATGAGTAAGGTTCTGCCCTGATAGATGTTTTGTCGGATTCAATAGGTTCATTTTTAATTATTTTCTCATCTATAAAAATTTTATACAATATAATTTTATCAAAATATTCTTTTATCATCGATGAATAAAGAATAAATAAAATGTTGTATTATTCACCCATTTTTGGTACTGGCTGTGTACTCCAAAATTGATAAGGCTTTTGCATAGCCTCTTCTTGAGTTTTGGCCGGTTTTTGTTGTATGTTAAAAACTTCCATCGCCATTTGTATATCTTTTATTGAAATATTACACGTGCTATGCATTTCATGTTCGTCTCTGTGACCAACGTGGTTGTGATTTTCACCAGTGGCATGCGCCATCTTGTTCTTCTTTTTGCGATGTCTCTTTTTTGAACTAAATTACAAATTATTTTCGTCTCATATATTAATGATAAAAAGAAACAATTTACTCACACATAAAATATAAACATAGAATTAAGAAGGCAAAAACAAAGGAAGAGGATGTCGATAAAAATTTAAATAAACATTATAGATTTTGAAATAATTCTTAAGTAATAAAAATTAATGATTAATGGTTATACATAAAATTATTCTTTGCGATATTAAACGTCAAAAATATTACATATATGTATGTTCTTGAATTAGGTAGGTTACTCTGACTCATAAACATAATTCTAAAACGTCAATCCAAGGTAAAATCGGTACAATAGTATAATGCAAGGAACTTTCTATTATTTTGAATTAATAATAAAATACAGTTCATGTCACACACATGGACACAAACACAATTATATAACGGATGACAAGAAATAACTTTAAATTGTGCCTATGGTATTGCCGGTCATCCATAACGCGCATTTACAGCAAATCAAATCAAGAATTTATTAATCACACCAATAGAAATTACACGAGCAGCACTCCTTAAGAATCGGTTGAACGTTCGCTCACCTTGCAGATTTTCCATCTTTTTCATGAATTTCATCCTTCTTAGCCTCTCGTTCCACAACTTGACTCTTTTCCTCCATTTTAATATAGATTTTGATAATGCGCATGTGCTGAATATAGTGGCTCCGCCTGGTAGAACTTAGGTGGAGAACAAATAGGTCACATGACGTACGCCATGTTCGTTTCTTCGAAAAGTCGAGTCCGCGTTCATCGGTTTAAATAAATTGAATTTTTTTAGTGAAAAGTCGCAAAGTGTTAGAAAAATTGTTCAAAATAGTTTTTATATGATCCAGGGAGTGTATATCGTATAAAATTTTCGTTCGATAACGTGTATTGTGCGCGTTTTCGTGAAAAATATTCATCGGATTTCTGAACGCTGACCGCGCGTTAGTTCGAAATAAATTTTTTCGATTATTCATCATAATTTTCATTGAAATTGGAAAATATCGTATTATAAAAGTGTGATAGTAAAATATTAGCGAGGATGAAGCAAAAGAAAGTTTCAGAAATCGTATTCAATCGATTTTCCATGAAAAAGAAAACGTGGGAAAATTGGATGACGCGGGATCTTCAAACAGCGAAAAAAAGCAATATGGCGTTGGCAATTGCGCGGCAAATTTGGCAGAATAGACATGGTTTATTGGCATCGTTCAGTCTACATCTTCGTATAACGTGAGTGAAAAATTTATAATCTTTTTAATAATATTATATATATTGCGTTAATATTATATCAAATTGCGTTAAATTGATAATATTAATATTATCTTTTCAAATAATGAGTAAAAGTAAAAAAAATTTCTCGAGTTATATATATCAAATTTTTTATTATCGTATCAATTTGATATTAAGCAAAGAAATAAGTTTGGAAAATAATAATATTAAAACGAGGAGATTAAGAAATTTAGATTAAAATTATTTTTTCCTCTCGATAATAATTCAAACTTTGAATGCGATATATAATTAAATTTAAGGATCGTAGAATAAGATTATTCCGTCGAGTGCCAGTCTGACAATTATAGTCTTCTTTATTTCATTACCAACAGTATTCTTACATCTTCATGCCGAAACAATGTATAATTTCTATATCATAATATATATTCATTTATTCATTTATATATTTATTTATATAATTGTTAATAATTGTAATAGCAGTAAATAGTCTGTAGTAGGCGAGTTTGTAGGTATGTAAACAGCTTTTAGGTACGCGTAATTCCAGTTTATCGATAATTCAAATCCCGCGTGCGTTCCGCTCGCGTAATTCATGATTTGCATATCTATTTGTCAACTGCGCACGGGAGGGAACTCCTCCATTTGTCGGTGTGCCGCGATATTCCAACTTTTTCCCCTAAGAAACTCGATATAGCCACGAAAATTGAATTCCGTTTGACTGATCGAAACTATAAAAATCGAATGGAAATTGATTGATTTTTGGATGAACCTAATCACGCTCGCGTGATGATTTCCATCTCGTGGATAAATTCTAACAGATTGCCTCCAAGATGAATAACCAAGGAATAGTATATAATAATAATAGCAACTCGCGCGACAATAAATTGATAATTACGGTTTTATCAACTTTGGAACGTATCATTAAGGAGTATCAAATAAGATAACCGGAAATAATGTTACCGCACAGAAGTAATTAACAACTTCTTTTCGCTTGGAATGCATAATTACGAATTTATTTGAACTTGCAACTGTTAATTAAAGAACTCGATTAATTAAGAACTTTTGCGTAAGCTGGATCAACATGTTTTTACTCGTTCGAAATAAGAAATAAGAAAGTTTAATCATAGGACTGGTTAAATATTCGATTCGGGGATCGATTTGCCAGATAAATGAAGTCTAACCGTCGAGCGCGAGCACAAAAACGGTAGGAAAGGAATGATAGAAAACGATTCGTTACTTTATTTGTCGAATGAAACGCATGGTCGTGAATTGTACGGGGAATTCACAGCTTCACTGAGCAAGTGCCTTGAGGACAACGATCGATCGTTGTTCCACCAGGTACTGAAATTCAGAATGAATCAGCAGGGAACAGCGAACGTTTCATTTCTCTTTCGCGTCTCTCTCTCTCTCTCCCTCTCTCTCTCTCTTTCTCTCTCCCTTTCCCTCTTCCACCTCTCCTCGAGAGGAGCCGAAATGAAATTCCGCGTGTCGAACCAGGGCCTTTAAAACGCGAAAACAATACGGACTTTTCCACTTTTATGTATCGGTATTCACTGTTCGATCGAAAATGAAATGCCCGTGTGCGTTAAAATTAGTTGCATGGAAGGTATTTGATTTTCTTCGTTTCTCTCGTTTGGCACTGCAACTCTGTAGAAAGTATATTATAACACGATGGAAGTTCATCGATCGTTTAATCCATGAACTCGTATTCACGTCTTAATTTCTTCCGCGCGCGCGTGTGTGTGTATATATATATATATATAT